ATATTTGCGAATTTCTTCATTTAAATTTTAATTTTAAAAGGGTTTATTGTGTCAGCCGAGGGGAGGGGGCGCGCGGACCGGGTCCACGGGAGTAGGGCCCACGCGGCAGCCTCACGGTCCACGGTGGACCGGGTGCACCCGGGCTCACACCGGCTGTCACGCCCAGAATTTCCCGAATAGAATTCCAAGCAGAATGTGCATTGAAATCCCCGTCCAGGACCGGCCGGGGTACACAAACGACAATGTCGACATTCAGATCCACGTCTTACAAACATCATAAAAGTCTTACATAAATGCAGCGGAAAGAAAGAGAGACAACAGGAGCTAAGCCTTGACTAGAACTACAGCGGGAACACCACTCCACAGGCATCCTCGACGGCACGGACTAAGCTTACTCCTCGGAGAAACCTTCATCTGACACATACTCGTACTCTAGGGTTGGGAAAAATAGAGCAAGACTGAGTACTACCCACTGTACTCAGCAAGTCATACCGGAATAGAGGCATGATGCAGGGAATCATCAAAGAAGAGCTAAAGTGGTTCATTTGCATAAAGCGAGCATTTATAAACAGAAGTTGAAAGATTAAACAGTTGTAATAATTAATTAGTATTAACTATCCACTGTCCAACGCTATCCCACGTTGCAACAGGCCCAACCATCCACCTAAACTATCCAAATTCAAAAGATTACACTAGGGTGAGACTAATCACGGTGAATCTGGTCGACCGCCCATAACCGCGGTCACGGCTATTCGAATAGTTTTACTCTGATCAGAGGTGTACAACTGTACCCACAAGACACAGCCCCACGACACGTTTCCGTGCGCCGACATGCCACCACGACATACCGGAAAGAGGCCGTGACAGGACCATTCGCATAACCCCCTCTAACCAAGCACACCACACCTCAGGTTTCACCCCCACTCCTCGCAAGGCAGCGAGCAGTCCCCTCTCGTGCCTAGGTGAATCCGGAAGCCGCATAGGCCGTCGCAGGACCCATCCAAACTCCATCACGCCCACCCTTGCCTGGATGCGTCGGCTAGAGAAAAGCTACGCTACAAGCCCAGCCGTTGCCCACGCTGGCTTGTGGTAAGTACGATAAGTTCTTCCAGGGCATCCCGCGAACCGGTCCTTAACTGCCATGGGTGCGACCAGCAAAACCATGCACCCACAGCCCACCATGTGATTTATTTTAATTAACCAACACCAAAGCGGTGGCACTAATCCAACAAAACCATTAAAACCAACAGTCTACTCATTAATAAGATTTTCCCCATTGTGCACTAGTTGAACTAAGCATGGCTAAGCAATCCCTAGTCCAAACTCTAATCATGTTATAACCCCAAGCTGACAAAGAGACATGGTACAACAATAGCATGGCTATGACAATAGGTAAACATCCCATAGTAACATTATAAAACAATTCAGTATTTGAAAGAAAATAATAGAGCATTTGCAATATAGGATCAACATATTCAAGTGACAAGCATGACTTGCCTTGCTCTGCTGCTGGAGGAACCTCGGCGACTATTTCGAAGTACACCGGAGCGTCGGAGGAACCGGAATCTAGCGACATACAAGGCAAACATTGCAAACAGGCTATAAGACTACTGAAACAGAGAACAAAACCATTTTTAATGGATTCTACACATTTTTCTTGATTTACTGAGACTTGAATGGGCTTAAACGGAGCTCGGATGAATTAGTTATGAATTTTAGAAGATTCATTGTGTTTATTACTATAACAAAAATCCTTAAATAATTTATTGCGCAATATTTTCCAGGGCTGACGTCAGCACGGGGGAGGCGCGGCGCCGATAGGCGGGCCCCACTGGTCAGCGGCTCAAGGGGGGGCGGTTCACCGTGGACCGGGACCACGCGGGTGGTCCACCGCCGGTCCACGGGACCGACGGCCCAGATCGCCCTCGGGGCCGATCGGACGGGCGGCGATAGAGGCGGCCGCCGGGCTCGGCTCGACATCAAAGCCGACCGGCCGGCCAGGGCTAGCGGCGACGGCACGCGGCCGACGGCGGCAGCGACCGGCGGCACGGGAGGCGGCGGCGGCGGCCGAAGGCGACGGCGCGTGACTTGAAGCGGCGGCGCGGTACTAGGAGGGGAGGAAGGGGAAAAGAGGGGAGGGATGCCTCACCGAGGGTGGCCGGCGCGGAGGAAGACGACGGCGAACGACGACCACGAGCCACGGGAGGACGACGGCAACCGACGGACGGGATTCGGGGTACCCTAAAGAAGGAGAAGAGAGAGATTAGAGGGGGGAGATGAACCACGGCGACCGGCATTCATGGCCGAAGGCGGCGGTAGAGGTTGAACTCACCGGAGCGCGAGGGGATGCGAATTCCGGCGATGAATCCCGACGGGGAAGGGGCGGCCGGGGTGGAGCTTAGCCTCGCGAACCCGACGGCGGCGACGGCGCGGTGCGGCGGCGACCCTAGCAGCGGCTAGCGGCGGCCGGAGTAGCGGAAACGGCGGCGGCAAGAGGTTGCACGGCGCGGGAGCGATGGGAGGCTTGGGAGAGTTCGGCGAAATGGGGAAAAAGCGAGAGGGGGCGACAGAGGAGCTTAAATAGGGAGAGAGGGGGCCGGACGTGGCCGGGAGAGGTGGGAATCGCCGGCCGATGTGGGGGAGTGGGGGAGGAGAGAGAGGCGGGATTCGAAAATCAAATCCCGGCCATCTCGGGCGCGGGCGCGGGCGGGAGAGAGAGGGGAGTGGGCGCGGGGAACGCGGCGCACGCGCGGGCGTGGCCGACGTGGCCCGGAGGAGGCGGAGACGTGGGCGCGGGGACGGTTGCGGGCGCGGTGGTGCGGCGGGAGCGGCGGGAGGTTGGGGGAGGACCCGACAGGTGGGCCCCACCTGTCGGCGACCCCGGGAGAGGAGGGAGGCGGGGCGGCCTGGCTGGGCCTCGGCCTGCGGCCGGCCCAGCAGGGAGGAGGGGGAGGAAAGGAGAGAATGGGCCAGCGGCCCATTCGGAAAAGAGAGGGAAAAAGAAAAAGAAAAAGAAAGAAAAAAAAAGAGAAAAGGATTTTCCCTGGAATTAAAATATTTCTTGCTCAATTTTAATTGGTTAAAATTATTTCTAGGGCTCTGAAAATTCCACTAAAAATCCTGTTAGTGAATTTCGACATGTAGAACTCAAGAAAAATTCCACATGCCAATTCCGATTATTATTTGCATTGATTTAAAAGGGTTTACTCTTGCTTTGCACCGGTATTTTCTTAGGGTCTCTTATAAATTAAATTTTAGACTTGGGAGGAGAACTTCGGGGTGTGACACCGGCCGGCGCCGTGGGTCCCACGCGTCAGCCGCACCTAAGGGCGCGGGCGGCTGACGGCCGGGCCCCACGCGGCAGCCACTCGGCGCGCCCGAGGGCGGCCAAGCCGGCACAGCCGGCGGGAGGCGGCGCCCGCGCCCCTATGGTCGCCGGCGGTGGCCATAGGCACGGCAGAGCGGCGGCTGAGAGAGGGAAAGGGAAGGGGGAAAAGAAGAGGCGGTCCACGGCTCACCCTAGGTCGACGGCGACGACGAAAAAGGCGGCCGGAGCGGAGGAAGGCGGCGGCGCGGCTCGGGTCGACGGGGTCGACGGCGTTCCGGCGGGCGGCGAGCGAAATGGAGGGGTGGACGAGGTCGGCGAGGATGCGGCGAAGCCGAAGGAGGCGGCGCCGAGGTGGGAGGTGGTCCGGGGCGACGACGGCGGCGGACCGGAGCTCGACGGCGACGGCAGAGAGAGAGAGCGACGGCGCGAGCTCGATTCCGGCGAGGAGAAAGGGCGGCGAGAGGCGGAAACGGACGGAAGAGGTGCGGGGAGGGTTTAAATAGAGCCGGGTCGAGAGAGGGTGGCCGGGGAAGGGAGGAAACCGGCGCGGGAGGTCCGGCTGCCATCAATGGCGCCGGCGAGATTTGCGGGGGCAAATCCGCCCGTTTGAACGAGAGAGAGAGAGGGAAAAATGGGGGGAAAGGGAGAGGGGATCACGGGGAGTGATTTCCCCCTCTTTATTGCACGCGGAGACGGCGGGAGGCGGCGGGATTCGCGGCGGCGGCGGCGGCGGCGCTAGGGCGCGGGCGAGGCGGCGGGAGCGGCGGGAGGAAGGGGATGACGGGTGGGCCCCACCCGTCAGCGAGGGTGGCGGGCGGGCCCGCCCGTCAGCGGCGCGCACGCGGGAAGAGGCCGGATGGGCCGCGGGGAGAGGAGAGGGAGGGGGAGGGAGATGGGCCGAGCCGGCCCAAGAGGGAGAGGGAGGGAAAGGGGACTTTTTAGAGTTTTTCTTTTTATAAAATCATTTTAACTTTGTTTATTTCTTAATAATTATTATTTGTGCTCTGAAAATTCCACTAAAATTTATTTACGCATTTTAGGCTTTTAGGAAATATACAAAAATCTCCCAAGCCTTATTTGACTTTTAACTTTGCACCTTTTAATTGTTGGAGGCTTTCACATGGATTTTAATTATTCTTGGCATAATTTAGAGGATGTATTTTAGAGTCGTTTTGGGACGTGATTATAGGGAGATCTGTCTATATAAGTGGCAAATATACATAAAACTTTAGTAAAGGAGTATGCATATTAGGTAAGATCGACTGAAACCCCGATACTACCCTTATTAACAATCAAGAAACAGGCTAGAGATCATGGTTCTAAACACGACTTAGTAGGTCGAATATACTGATGCGGCACTAAGTATGAAAAGAAACATGATATCTAAACAATCAAGCCATTGACTAAATTTTCAGGGTGGTAGATGTCTAAGCTAATCTAATCTAGCAACACGATTTAGCCGATACCGGCAGGACCCCTAAAGCGAGAAGCAACCGATAGAGCTAAATTGATATGCTAAGACTAAATTAATAGAGACATATGATAACGATGGTCACGATAAAAAGGACTAAAATATCTAAAAATGACATATTAGCCCACGATAGCACAAGCCATCGAGACGGGTTGCTTCTTGTGAAGCAAACTCGTCGAAAAGTAAAAGAGAAAAGGGTGGTGATGCGCCAAAGTTGTATTGGATTATCTCCCGTATTACAATGCTATGGGGTTCATATTTATACCCCGAATACAAACTTAGTCCATTATGGACACGACTCGAACCTTTCTAAAGATAAAATACAAACAAGACCATATACGGTGGTCTCTTACCAAATCTCTAACAAACTGACATAACTATCCTAATTAATAGATACAATTGCCTTACATGAGCTCTATCTCTGATTGGCAATGCCGGTTATCCTGATCTAGGCCCATGCCGAGCCCAAGTTATATCGTACCGGCCAAGCCAAGCCTTTGTCCAATTTTTAGCTGATGCTTAGTCCGTCTTGGAGATAAACTTGATACCACACCAAATCCGCTTCGGTTTCCTTCTTCCTTTTTGAATCTGATGCAAAATTCCATTGTTAACACTAAGATAACTGATAACCAGCAGCTACAATAGATAGATTAGAACATTTAAAACGTTATACTAATCCACCGATGCAAACTACTGTGACAAGTCATACCTCTCATCGGAAGATCGAAGAAGATGCCCCAACTCGAAACAAGAACTCATTGAGAAAATTGAAAACAAAAAGTTTGGCGATGCACTGAGAGTATATTGAACTGTTGTTGTTCTTCATACAAGACCCTGGGCATATATTTATACTCGTAGTACAAAACTTGTTCATATCGGACATGATTCAAACTTCACAAAATAAACACACCAGCCCATTGTGGATGCTAATATAGATTTCTAAAACACAAAAAGGAAAGCTTACTCTTATCCTAATTAATAGATGCAATTGCTTCTTTGGACTCTATCCTTGTATGGCAATAATTCTGAATCCTCAATCCGAACTCATCATGAACTCGAAATCGTATGTATCGACTAATCAAATCCAACTCTATATCGACTGATACAGACTCCAGCAGATGCATTGTTTCATTTTGGAAACCAAACTAACTCCTTCAAATCCGCTTCGGATCCATCCTTATGTCCACGTATCTTACCAAATTTTGTTGTTAACATCTATGCTTTGTGGATTCTGGCTAGAACAGTCACTGGTTGATGTGTACCTGTACAGGTAGATCACGCATGTGCATGTTGTTGATGTAGAATCGCGCCGCCACAACTTGAGCATGTTATGTGCAACCCGCGGAATCACCCGGAGACGTGCCGCTGTAGGGTGTGGGTAGAGGCTGCCGAACACACACCCAGGAGGGACCCTGTTAGGGTGAATGCGCTCTGGTTTGTGCTAGACTCGGCAGGCCAGCTAGGATGTCCTTTAACACCGTAGAGACGAGAGGCGGCGAGCAATTAGGGGATTTGGGGAGAATTTACTTGGGATTGGAAGCAAGGAGGGAGATGTAGAATATAGAGGGTTTGGATAACTAAATTGAGTTTGACGATTGAGTGGTTATTGTTTCAATCGAACTTGTCCCCCTTATATTTATATTAGGGGTGGACTTACTTCCCATGGTCTTTCCCACGTCCAATTAGGCTTAGAAATCAACTAGGACTCGAGAAATCCCGATTGTTGGCGGCTGTTAAATACACATTTTTATACCGCCAGCATTTGCATAAAACTCATATAATAAAACATCCAATATAGTGGTAGGTGTTAATTCTAACATATTCCACGAGTGTTGGTGTTTAATTGATGCAGGTCCTAAACCACCGAAGTTGGGAGAAAAATCAGTCTAAAGTGAAGAAGGAACATATCCATACAAGGGAGGGGCTTTACACTTTACTAAAATACCAGAGAATCAGCCCAAAACTCACAGTAATGGATAAAGCAGAACAGGAGGAGTCCACAGGCCAAAATTGAGGGCCAGATGGGCCAGCCCAGAACCCTGATCTCCACCGTTGATCCTGGGGTTTGGCAGGGACGCTCCTGATTTGATCCTAATGGCGGTTGGAGGGCACTTCGGACAATTCTCGTTCCACAACCGTCATTAACTGCCTATTTAAGGAGTTTCACTCATTCGCTTCTTCACACACTTCCAAGCTTGAGCTGAATTATAAGAGGCTCTGTTGTACTATTTTGTATACTAGAATTAGGAAGAGAGTAGAGTAGAAGAAATCGGAGGAATTTCGGAGATGTCGGTAATCCTCTCATGTTTATTTTATTCTGTTAATTACTCTATTTTCAATAGAAATATCTTTCTGAGTAATTTAGATTTACTTGTGAGTACTTGTGAGAATTACCTCTTATAAGAATTATTGATCACAAACATATATTGATCTCGCCACAATTCCGTCATCACCAGCCACGCCAAGCACCAACCCGTGATGTGTTTGTGCTTCTAACGGTGGCTGCTATAACAATACTGCCATTTTTCATTTAAGCAGGTTGTCCATAGAAGTCAAATTTGAGAACTTCATCTCTTCAGTCCTTTGGCTCACATAGCAAAACTCTGAGTTATCGTATACATGATTTGTTAGTAAGTCAGAGTAGCATATACGTAATTGTAGTGCAAGAAACATAACCTAAATTACCCATGCATAACTTGAGACCACCTTTTTTTTTATTCAAACAAGTATGGCGGTCAGATTCCATTTCCTTCATTGTGGTTCTTTGGCTTGCCTTAGTCCTGACCTGCAATCGATAACATTGTGCAATACATCTAAATGAGAAAAAAAAGATTCATGCATGGGGTTGAAATGAATGAAAATCAATGTTGCTGTCCACCCTGAAGATGCTATTGCCATTTTTCCAAAACATTGCATTGACGAAATAATGACCGAACAAATGAAAATTCAGATGGAAGCAGTGCTCTGCACGTATTGCACATGCAAATTCAATAATGCACACATGAAAATTTAGATAAGAGCAGGAAATGGAGATGCTTAAAGCATCACAAAAACAAAACTCTAGCAGCAGGCCTACCTATGCATGATCCTTATCCATATTTCATATCCACAAAAAAAAACTACTACTATTTTGTAGTCATAATACTGCTAAAAATAGCATGTTCAACGAGACCATATATATGTACGTAGTGAGCAGTTCAGAAACACAATCCAATCCATCTCCTTTTTCAACAAGAAACATATCGTCAGAAGTTCAGAAAAAAAATCAATCGATGTGCTCCTTTGAACAACAAAATTTTGGAAATGTTGCTATCCAATCGAGTTATTTGAGTTTTCATCTATCCAAAACTTCAGATTCAGGACATGCAGTAAAAATTTCAGAAACTACAAGCATATGTGCCAATCATGTGGCTGACTGATCTAGTGATGTTCTGTAAAAGCTGCTGGCTAATCAACTAAGGCCATTCACAGAGCGCCCTGCAATTTTGGTGTTCCTCCCATGCCAACTAGACAAAGAACTTTATAGGCTACATACTCCACAATGCATGTAGCATCTTTTTTATTTTTTTATCTCCCTCTCTCTCCTCTTCTCCTTTCCCCTGTTCTCCCTCTCCTCTCCTCCTTCCCATCGGCAGAGCGTGGCGGCGAGGGCGGCGCCGGCACCGGGGCGACGAGGGCGGTGCACGGCGACGACCCCCCACCCCCGCCCCCTCCTCTCCTCCGCCTTCTTTCCCGTCGGCAGAGTGCGGCAGCGAGGGCGGCACACGGCGACGACCCCCCACCCCCACCCCTCCTCTCCTCCGCCTCCTTTCCCGTTGGCAAAGCGCGGCAGCGAGGGCGGCGCCGGTGTTGGGGCGACGACCCCCCAACCCCCCGCCCCCTCCTCTCCTCCACCTCCTGACTTGGGTATTACGTTTCCTTGTATATTACGGAACGGTCTAAAGTCCTGGTTTGATAATATTGTAAAATAGATTTAGGAAACCGATACCGTATTGGTTAAGATTTCTATCTTGTAATCCTGCCCTCCATCCTATATAAGGTGGGCAGGAGGCCCTCTAGGGGGCATGACACACAACCTGATCATCAGATCAATAACACACCCGGCGGATTCAAATCCCCAAACAAGAGTAGGGTATTACCTCATTGAGAGGGCCTGAACCTGTCTAAATCCTTGTCTCCGCACCCATCCACTTTTAGGTCTCATGCGCTACCCCCTTTTATTATTGCCGAATTCTTGTTTCGACACCCGTCGGCAGAGCGCGGCGGCGAGGGCAGCGCCGGCGCTGGGACGACGAGGCGGCACACGGCGACGACCCCCCAGCCCCCGCCCCCTCCTCTCCTCCCACCGGCGGCATGCAGCGGCGACGACCCCGCCGCCTCCTCTCCTACCAGCACTCAGATCTGGCGCCCCCCGTACCGAGCAGCGGCAACAACGTCGACCCCGTCCCGACGGAGGCGCCGGGTGGAGGGACGGCCCGAGCAGCGACGACAACATCGGGTGGCCCTAGTAGCGACGGTGCCGGTTGCAGATCGAGCTCGCCGGCGACCTGCCCCGCGGCGCCGCCGCTCCTCTCCCCGTTGGCTGCCTCGCCCCTCGCCCCTCTTTCCTGTAGCAATGAGTGTGGGGCCCGCCTGAGAGCAGGAACTCATAGCCAAAGTTGGCTACTCGGACTTGAGAAAGCCACGCGGTTGGATGATGTGGCAAGGAATATTCGCTTTTAGGGGTTGAGACTGAATGCCATGTAGACCCATTGTGAATGGCCTAATAGCTCTGCTACACTAAAAATTATCAGAAACTGCAAGCTTATCGTTGGTGCTCACCATTGGCCGGCCACGCGGTGTCGCTGGCGCTTCACCTTGCTCCCATTGTTGCCAGCAACCTCTCGTCGCTCGAGAATCGAGATCCATAAAAATCAAGGTTTTGGACTGCTTGCCACTCTCCCGGATGGCGTGTTCTTAAATGCCACTCTCCCGGATGACTTCGCTATTTTTTTCATTGGAGAGAGAAGATTTCTTGCTCGTGTGCCATTTTTGAGCCCGCAAAGCACCACGTCACCTGATCCGAGGGCAAAATGACCATCTTGCCCTTCTTCTTCCTCTAGCTCGGGGTCTCTCTCCTCCAACCTTCCTCCCTGTGTGGGGCCGTGTTACGGGATAGGACACGTGGCGCGATTTTATCATATGTAAAATTGCTTCCAGGTTTAGCCACGTGGCCCAATCAACGCTAAGGGATCGGACCCAGAAATCGGTATAAGAGATAAAGATTCCTCATATCCAGTCGGTTTGCAAGGCTGTGTTGGGGGTTTCAAGGCGTGACACGTGCTCCTTTTCCTTTTTCTTCTGCCGTTTGAATGCAGCATTTACCACTTCATTAGGTTGCTGCTGCTTTTTTCCTTCTTGTGTTCTGATGTTTGTATAGCTGCCGGTGGATTCACTGATTAGAACTTGCTGTTGACGGTGTATATCTTAGAGGAGATACAATAGTAGACTATAAGTCGGTTATAAACATATTTCAAAAGGATAAAAGAGGAGAGAGAAGAGCAACGTTCTACAAATTTATAGCCAGCTATAACACAGACTTTAAGATATATTGTGTGTACGACAAGTAGGATCACATATTAATAGTATAATAGTATTGAGGTCTAACCCCTCCTAGTTTCATTAGTACAAGTATATCGAGGCTCGTTATATCCAGCATGAAAGGTAAAGGGAAAAAGAAGATAAAAACAGCTTACTCAGTGTCAGTGATGCCATCCCATCACTTATGCCAAGTCTGCAACTAAAAATTGCAAGCTAGCTAAAGGAACTAATTCTGTCAAACTATAGAATAAACCAGTATCCCAGCATTTTGCCAAATGACTGACATAGCAACTACAAAAGACATTTCACTTCTAGGTATTTTCTTCATTTGCTTGCAAGGTGCTCCACTCGCATTGCCAGATTGCCTTCACTGTAATCTCCTCATTTGTGGCTTGGTTTAGCGGCAGCCTTAACGTGCATTCATCTCCATCGCCGGTGTCGAGTTGTAGGTCCAGATCCGGCCAGTTCTAGCTTCCGCCACTTCCAGCTCGCCCTCACCAACGGCTCCAGCTAGGAAGGAGGCAGAGGGTAACGCGCCTCGTGCACGCCCTAGCCGGCTCAGCAACTGTCGCCGTCACTGACGGCCTCTATGGCAAGGAGGGAGGGGGTTTTGGACTATTTGCCACTCTCCCGGATGGCGTGTTCTCAAATGCCACTCTCTCGGATAACTTCGCTGTTCTGCCATCGGATAGAGAGGATTTCTTGCTCGTGTGTCATTTTTGAGCCCGCAAGAGGCCATGTCACCCGATCTAAGAACAAAATGGCCATCTTGCCCTTCTTTTTCATTTCTCCCCACGTCTCTTTCATCCCCTTCCTTTCCCAAGGCGGTGAGGTTATTGGGCTCCGGTGAGCTCCTCGCCTCGCACTCCTCCCTCCTTCGCTCCGCTCCTTACCTCCCAGGCCCCTGCTGCTGCCAACACCGGCCCCTACTCTTTCTTTTGTGGCATTGCCGGTGCCTCGCTCCATCGTCACCGTCGTCGCCTTCCTACTCCTCTCGGCTCTTCTCCACTCTCCTCCGACGTTGGTGGTTGCGTCAGGTCCAACCTCGAGGCTTCCCCTATCTTGTCGTTTGCCACCTAGCACCAAGAGGTCAGTCCGGCGGTGTCACCAGCTCACACGCCGGGAAAATTTTCAGAATATACCACCAAATATGCACCGCTTTCAAGATTTACCACCAAATTCGTGCTACTTTCAGAATACGTCACATCGGAGTACGAATTTTCTTCATTCCGTGCCATTCCGTCCCCCAACGTTATTCACACCGTCGTCATCCAGCTCCCGGCGCTGCCGACGTCAGTTCGTCACCTCGCGCGCTCGCGTGCGGCACGCCGTCGTCCGTCCTCCGCCGCCCGCCCTCGCGTGCGCCACGCAGTCATCCGTCCGCCCGGCGCCGCCCTCATCGTCATCTACCATCAGCTTGGCCGTCGTCGTCGCCCACCATCAGCCGCCCCGTCGTCGTCCTCACCAACAGCTCGTCGACGTTGTCGTATGTGGCGGCCTCTGCCTGCTCGCCAGCTCCGCCACAAAGCCGTTTAAGCAGATTCTCTTTCCTTACTCAATATTCAGGAAACATTCGTTCTTATGAATCAAAGACAACAATCTTTTCTCTCTTTTTTTGGTATTTCGAGAGGAGAAACCATGCAAACATAGCAGCAAGACGAACTTGAGAATGATGGGTGGGTGAAACGTGTGAGCTCAAAACAAAATGGCACCATCCAGAATCTTAGACTGAAAACATTCACAAATCGCTATATTTTTTTCCCAGAACGAAGCATCAACCTTAAAATGCAAAATATCACGCATAAGCAAGCAGGAGACTCCTTGTTGCTTGCTTGCTTGGTCTTTTCAGCTTCCTTTTCTTCTACTTGTTCCCCACACAGCCACTCCTTTTTTTCCCCGGTGATTAAAACCGAGGTGTTCTCACGGTCGCGGCATGAGGCCTCGACGGCGATGGCCTCTACGGCCTTGGTGGTCGCATCGTCGTGTCGACGTCCAGGGCATCGACGACACCAATCCAGGCAACGAGGAGCCCGCGTCATATCGTCGCCATCTTGACGCAGCTCCGGGCTCAGCCCTGGAGCATCGCCGCGCCCCACATGCGGAGCTCCGCCCCAAACACGCGCGGTGGCCGCGCTTGCTTGCCCTGAAGCTGCGGAGGACGACGACGATGGCGGCGGCGAACGGACAACGGCGCGGCTGACGCGGGTACAGGCGGTGGCGGACTGACGACGGCGGCGCCGGGCGGACGGACGACTGCGTGGCGCACATGAGAGCGGGCGGCGGCGGACGGACGACGGCGTGACGCCCGCGAGCGCGGGAGGTGGCGAACTGACGTCGGCGGCGCCGGGAGATGGACGATGACGGTGTGATTGACGTTGGGGGTACGGAATGGCACCGAACGAAGAAAATTCGCACTCCGATAGCGTATTCTGAAAGTAGCACAAATTAAATGGTAAATCCTAAAAGCATTGCGTATTCGATGGCATATTCTGAAAATTCTCGCCCGCCTATCCGCCATCCCGAAACGCCGCCGCCTCCCCTCCTCATCGCTCCGCCTCCTATTGCTGCCGGCCGCCGCTGCATCCTTCTCCTGATCTCCTTCCCATGCCAGGCACCACGGCAACCTTCTCCTCCCCATCACCGCCTCCTATCCATCCCCTTCAGACGTCACCGCTGCACCATCCAAGCCACGCCACCAGTCCCTCATCGGACGAGCTCAAGGGCGCCAGATCCGGGCAGAACGAGCGCCGACGCTGCCTCCTGCCCATCCCTATTCTGGGCTCCCCTCGGACGACATGCACGGGCTGAGCGGCGACACTGTCGACGACACGACGACGACGACATCCTCCTCAGCGAGATGCTCCAGTCGACCACCCCCGACGGTCTCTGGTTAATCCACAGCTGCTGCAGGTTTTCTCCCTTTATTCCTGCTCATCTTTAGGCCTCCTTCTCCCTGACCTCGCTGTGGAGGAACGAGCTAGACGGCGGCAGCCTTTCATCCACCGTCATCCTCAATTTTGTTTATTCTCTGGCAAAGAGGCAATAAAGCTCACCGGAGATACACACAAGTTATCAATTCCGGTACTCGTTTCTTTAGGTGAATACTGACTCATCTACACTTTCTTAATTGAACTGGAAAAATGCATCTAGATTTTTTTTTCTGAATTCAATTAATTTATTAGCAAGGTTTCCATATCTGACATGATGCTTCATGCTTTCCATGCATACAATCAGCAGATTAATGACCCGTAACCTTCATGTATATTATAATCTGATGAGTATGTGTCAATGGTTGAGGACGTCAATCAGATATCGATTAAATGACCTCCAAATCATTTCATTATCTGTATACTTTGTTAGCAGCGATGCGTTCACCTATGGTCAGGTAGCTGCTGCACTAATCTGCAAAAGGAAAAAAAAAAAGAAAGAGAGAAAAAGAAAACATAGTAAGGCATTTTGAGCTTAAATTTAGTTAGCATTAGTTAAAAAAAGTTAGCAGTTATATAAGTTATTTACATGATTGTTCGTTAAGATCCAAAACCTTTTGCTTACCTGATGCTAATTTTATGGACATTTGTCTAGTTGTTTATAAAATCTTCTTTATCTTTTTTATGGCACGGAGTAATCTAGCAAAACTAACCCCAAGAAATCGTTTCTACTATGCTCACATCAGTGGGACAATTTTGACCTATAAGAACAGCAGAAAGAAATTGCCCTTTCTATTTTGCTTTTAAAACTAGAGTTTCTTTGCTTTCCATTTTCACCTCTGCATGAACGAAGATCACAACCAGAACTTCTGCTTGGGCTACCCTATAGTCACAAAGAACTTTGTCTTGATAACAAGCTGCATTTCTTTTAGATCACATATACTTGTATTATGCTCTCTCAAAATTATTTGTTTCATGTTATATTCTGATAACCGAGTCACTGCCTTATCCTTTAGATATTAAAATCTGAATTAAAGTCTACCATAGCTCAAATTCAAGGAGCTACATTGTTATGTTCCGTTTCTTCAGAACACATGTTTTTTCTGTTCATGACCTTATTTACATTTTCTTAAGTTGACATAGAGTGCTGGGACTGAGAAATGCAGGTGCAGAACTGGGACTTTAACCACTGTACAATTCAGTGAGAGAGCAATGCTCATGCCAAACAAGGCTGTGGTAAATGAGATATCACAAGACGGTGGATTCGGTGATAAGTTATATTATTATCCTCACTGAAAATATTGTCTTACTTTCTATTCATTACAAATAGTTAAATCTCCTTATTTCATCATTGATGCTAATCTGAAAGTATTGATCATACAATATCTTTGTAAGGAAAACATATTTGACAGGCAAAATTTGCTATAGGACATCCAAAAAAACGTGTAATTAGCTAAGAGACACCGCAAGAACGCGTTTTTGCTATAGGGCACCGTAAAAAACTGGTAATTAGCTACTGGACACCCTCGGGATTATTTTATTATATCCGGAAGAATTGGAGAGAGAAACAGCTGTGTAAGTACAGATCTACCCTTTGATTTTTTTTTCTTTTTCTTTTTTCTTCCTTATCCTTTTCTCCCTCTCTCGTTCTCTCTCTCTCTCTCTCTCTCTCTCTGCTCTCAACCGTCGCCTTCAACCTCGCCCGCGGCCGCCGCCGCTCCTCCTATGCTCGCCCACTGTCGCTGCTCCGCCCACCGCGCTCGCTTGCTGTCGCTGCTCCTCCCAGGCTCGCCTGCCGTTGCCGCTCCTCCTTCGCTCGCCCACTGTCGCCGGTGCTACTGCTCCATGGCTTCATGTCCTTCATGCCCAGCACGGTGATGTAGACATGAACGCGCTCAGCCACTCATCAGTAGCCGACGGCGACCATTGGCGCGAACGCGGTGCCGAACGAGCAGTCAGCGGCGGCCTGCGATGTTAGCTAAATAATGCAATCTTGTGCATCTAGTTTCTGTAGTTGCATTGCATATGGTTGGCTGTGTTAGAATCTGTCAGCAGCCGTTTTACTTCCAGTTAGCATGTAGCTGTTTTCTAGCTAGTTTTTCGGTTGGACTGAATTGGATCGTGGGATGGCACGGTCAGTAGTGGATCCAGATCAATCGGGTGTTTTTTCTGTTATGCATGTAACAAACTCTGTAATTGAGGAGAATAATTAGGAAACCAGAAAAGCAGCAGGGTACTTCGCTGTGCCAAAACTCTGCTCGTTCTACTCTGTTCTTCAGTTAACTATTCATATATTCGACAAAAGGTTCAGAGATTGTGAGAGTGAGAGTTTGATCCTGTAAAAATGAGACCGTGTGCTTCACATCCACCATCGTTTCTTCTCCTCTCTTGCTCTTTGCTTGGTGATGAGAATGTAAGATGTGTTTAAGCCCGTGATTAGTGAAGACTAACTAAAGAAAATGTTTAGCGGCCCACGTTGGATTAACTTGAGCCAAGGGTAAACTAGTCTTTAATGATTGTTTCTCTCTCCTATTCCTCCAAAAATAATAAAATAATCCCACCAGTGTCCAGCGGCTAATTACCAGTTTTTTACGATGCCCTACAGCAAATACACGTTCTTACGATGTCCCCTAGCTAATTACACGTTTTTCAGATGTCCTGTTGCAAATTTTACCTATTTGATATGAACCTCATATTCTTTTTATAAGGAGAAACAAAGTTGATCTCTCATTGTCAGTAACAAAAGCAACTTAGTTTGATGGTATGTAAAACTAGATTATCGGGTAAGTTGAATGTAAAATTTTGTGATTATGTAGCCCTTTTTTTTGTTTTGGATATACATATTTAGTTATGATCAATTCTTATTTACCTGACTTCATAATTAACAGTGCATTGGGTCCATCCAATTGAGCTAGCCTATATATACTAATGCGCGGCAAAGCCGTGGTTAGTTTCTAGTTCCTTACGGAAACCAAGATATATCTATATATGAAATATATATGAAGTGTGTTCAATGTCCTGCATTCTACATATAGCACATAAACATGTATTTATGATTACTACATAGTAGGATAAAAGGTATAAACATATGATCGGACAAAAGATATAAAAAGATAATCAAACAAAAGGTATTAGCAACCCTAGGCGCTCCACAACATCTAGTTGTTCAACGGGCACAAGGAATGCTATTCCATGAGCTGAACATAGCACAGCCATCAGGCTTACGAACCCCACAGTTTAATAATGGAAACAACAAAACTGTAGCTTTCTGATTGATTCATTAATGTGGCCAACTTCTACTCCAACAAAGTTATAGCATACGTTTAGCTTGAGTTTACAAACTTAATATTGATGGTGCATTTCAAGCGGATCGCAAAACAGATGGATGGGGTTTTGTTTTGCGCAACGATGAGGGTCATGCTTTTGTTTGCGGGTGCTGGGCGCATCGAATTCGTCAATGATGCTATTTCTGCTGAAGCAAGGGCATGCTTGGTAGCTCTGTTAACCATCTCGGTCCAAGGTGTATCTGCTGTGGAAATTGAGACTGACTCGGCCATACTGGCTTTGGCGATTAAGTCCTCATCGCATGACCTAGCCACTGGTGCTACAATCTTCACGGAAATAAAAACGCTTCTCCAGTTTCAGTTTGCTAGCTTTGAGGTCTCTTTTGCGCCTCGTTCTTGTAATAAAGTTGCTCACGAACTTGCTCATTTGGGTGAGTTGGAACCCGGGTCAATCGTTTGTTTGGGTTGACCCCATCCCAGAATTTGTAAGGTTCCTGGTGATTCGTGATCTCACTGAATTTCAGTAATAAGAAATCGTCGTTGCAGATTTAAAAAAAAAAAAAAAAAGCTTCCCGGTACACCAGAACATTATTTTCGTTTTGATGACAGGTACAGTTTACAATGAAGGATTAGCTGCTAACAAGGACGGATTGTACATTTACACTTAATTATTGTACAGTTGCACCTACAACCTAAAGATTGAAATTGTGAATTCCCACTGTTACTAGTTATACAAAGAACAAAAATCTTTCCCATGCACACCCCTAGCATTTCAAGTACACGAGGTGTATAGTTAATTCAATCAAATAAAGAACACGAGTAAACAATGGTGCTCCTATCTGTATGGATATCTCATATTCTATGTGACTTGATTTTGCATTGATTTGCCATTTATTTCCCACCTGCTATTCATTATCTCATGACCCTCTGAAAGAAGCTTTGACTTTAGCTTCTTACCAGCTGGTCCTGGTTCAACTATAATCCCAGACTCAAGCTCTCTCTCAATCCAATCATCTTCAGTCAAACCATCTAAAGATACAGGCTGGTCATTTTTTTGTCCAATAACAATTCCAGATTCCAGTTCTCTCTCAATCCAGCCTTCATCACTTAAATCATACGATGCAACAACATGGTCAACTTTTTTAAAAACTATACCAGACTCAAGTTCTCTCTCAATCCAGGCTTCTTCACTTAGGTCAACTGAAGGAATGCACCGCCCTTGTCTTTCTCTTCGTCTCTTCCTCTTCATCAACAAATCCTTTATCCGTGCCACATCTACCTTTTTACGCTCCACACACAAATGATCAACCTTTATCTGGACAGGCAATACAAATGATGCCTTCTCCGTGGTACCTGCAGTGGAATTAGCCAGTCTCTGATCAGAGCACAAACTGTCCACATTGAGACTGTCACTGGTATGGTTACAAATTGTAGTGGGCGGTTCGACAGATTGAGTGCTTTTGCTGTCCACATCTGTAAGCGATGATCCACCCTCTGAGCATAACTTTGTTTTATCACCACTTCGCTGACTTATTGAGAACGGGTTCAAGATTTTGCCATTGAATGTGTTACTTGAGCTGCAACAAATGCCAATATTCTGTTCCACGCATTTAGCAGTGCTGCTATCAATCTTTGCAATTGCATCTAATGGTATCTGCTGATTACATGAGATCAGTCCACCATGTTTGATTTTTAAGGCCTGATCCAAGCTTTCTTTATTGTGTGTTTTACCGGGATTATTCATATCAGCAGTAAGATTCGATAAATTCCTTTCAGGATATGACTTGCTACGATCCTCAATATGCACTATGTCTTGACTTGAATCCACCTGCAGGTGGTCATTGGGGTCTCCAATTTCAGGACTCGAGCTGCTTACTGACAAGCTAGATTGAGTCAACACAGAATCTGGGCTATTTGATATGAGCAGCATTCCTTCAAAAAGAACTTCCTTTTGCTTAGCCGGACTGGGATGAGCAAACAGCTTTGCTTTCATGTGAACCATCTCCCTCATTTGCTGAAGGACAGCTATAGCAGTGTAACTCTTAGTCTCTTACTGTAAATACCAAGAATACACAAGGTACTATTATGTTTCAGCTTAGTAGTCTACATACCTTCCAAAGGTTTTGGGGCAACATCAAATTGGTGCCACCAAACATGCCCTCCATGCACAGGAAGCTTGACGTTCTGAAACTTAGCAGCCAGGTAGAGCGAACCAGCAGCTATGTATTGGGGCTTATACTGTAGGCACAGTGTTGTTTTAAGCCTACGAGCAACAGAATGAATACATCCAGATTGATCAGTTGAATGAATGAAGCATCAAAACAATAATGTCACAAAGTGATATGTCACATCTCATACCAATCATTTACAAAGTTCCAAGCTACTTGTTTCACTTCCTTCTGAGAGATCCCAAGTTTTTCCATAGCATCAAGTAGTGGTCTGTAAGGATGTTGGATGTTGAAATCAAACCGAACAGTTGTAAGGACTAATCTCTCCCCGGTCAAAATTAGTGCTTTCTGCTTCTCAAATACATCCTGTTGATAGATACTACTTGTCAACCATTAACTGGATGGTACATATATACTGAAAACTCAATTAATGATCCAACTATACCTTCTGGTGGATTCTTCGAGCTGTAGCTGGGTCCCTCCTGTACATTGTTCCATAGGCCACTCTAATTACTTGGTCCAGAGGACAAGGTGTATCTTCAACTTTTGAAGCCAGAAATATGCACACTGTTGCAATCGTCTGCAATAAAAAACAAGTAAAGCTATTGGCTCTGGAATGACAATAAGCAAATAAAATAAACACCAATTACTTGTAATAGTATTTAGTTATAGACAGCTTGCATCACATGCACAGCTTTTTTTTTCTTTTCTTGAGCAATGAAGAAACATGTCAGCAAGTAACATCTGCAAGTGCAGATAACGAGCACAACTCCAGATTAATTGCAGAGACAAGAATGTGTTTCTCAATTAAATAACCGCATGACAGGAATACAGTGAATGTGGTGAGGCGAATCAAATCTATAAAACTTACTGGAGGATTTATACTTATTAGATGGTCAGTTATAGTATTTTAGCTTCTAATAACAGGATTGTAAGCTGTATTCCTGTTGGCTAATGGCAATAGTGTAACTTCAACAGGAATGCTGAACAGACTTGTCCTCAAAAAGGATGTTCTATTGTATTGTACAATACATCTCAATACTATTGTATCTTCCAAACATCCCAAGCAAATCAACCATAAATCAGACTATATCAAAACTTTACAGCACAGTAAAAAAGTAAGGAATTACAATATAGGATTACTGATTGGCACAAGTAGATCCCTTTGGAATTGAATTTCTAAATCACCTAATGGCACTGTAACATCGCCATGCACTTAATAAGCAATACAAGATTAAATGTTAGTGTTATTATGCAGCTTCATATTTATTGTACAACCGATAATAGATCGGAAAGTTAAGCACAAGTTGCAAAGAGTATATGAACTGATCAAGTATAAAAAATATGCAAGGGTTATATATGTTCCTTGAGAACCTTTGCCAGTAAATATTTTTTAAAGAGAAGATTGTATCCAATTGCTTTTCTAAAACATTCTTTCAGAAAAATGCTTTTTCTAAAAGACACCAACCCACCACAACAAAAGAGATAAATTAAAAAAAAAAGCTCCTTACCTGCCATCCGTTTTTGGCAAGGGACTGGTACAGATAGAAGCGATGGCAGAACATTATTGCTGTTGCTATAGTCATCTGTGGTCTGAAAGAAAAATGTTAAAATAGGTAACAAGCTTAGCAAACTTCCAGAATAAAAGAAATTATTGTGTGCTAACTAAGGGCACAAACTAGCCGTAAAACCAACATATAAGTTTGAAAAGTGAGCTATACTGACATTAAAAGGTACACTCAACAAGGAAATTGGCACATACAGTTTCAGTCTAATGCCAACATCCCGAATGAATGAACAGTACAACTGCCGAATTTCTGACTCCATTATCTCAGTAATACCATCTTTCCTAGATGGGGAAAATTTCTCCAGTTCTTCCCTGGTGAAGTACCAAGAGTACATGTGCTCACATGATAATTTACTCGTCTGGGATTCCCCATCCATCAGTATGTTTGAAAAAACCTGCTTAAGGACCCTCCAAAATCTTCAGTGTAGTTTCAGACAGAACTTCCGAATTGCTTGTGCTGAACAGCCTGCAGAACCATGAAATTTATGTATATAATAAAAATATCTACAATATGAATCCACATACTGAGCAACGAACATTATGAATGTAAATTTAAGCCAATATGTACAGATTATAGCTAAATTGTGCATGTTTTACATGATCTATTCCTTTGATAGCTTGCTACAGTTGCATTCACCATGCTACTGTGAACATTTTTACCTCCCTTTCCCTCAATTGGCAGAGAACGAAATTAACAGAAATGTTAAAAAAGTTTCTCATAGCCACAAAGGAAAATAAATTATATTGATGAAGATGATATTTTTTAATCAAATTAACATACATGGTATAACAAGATACTAATGTATTCCATCCCAGAAAATCTCTCCCCTATATTTTTGAGTATAACATGAGCCATCATATTAAGCCATGTCATCATCATTAAAATGCTAATCATCTGATGATTTTACTTTAAAAGAAATCCATAAGATGACCTATTTCAATTTTATCCATAACTAATCAAGAGTCACGGATACTGATTTATATTCATCAAAATGCTGTGTGCAGTTATATTCATTACATTTCCTTCCATTTAAAACTCTTTTGTTCAGAACCTGTACAGACATGTGAATTCCACGAGATTGAATCTTTTGAACATGTACTCCTAATGGAAGACGATATCCGGCATTGAAGCGTCTATACTCCAGAGGAAATCAATGTGTGCTGATGAGTTTGAATTCCAAAGTCTAAATTCCAAAACCTTACCAAAAATGTAGATGAGTTTGATCCGCCTCAATGCACTAATAAAAGGAAAATAGCACTGAGCAGAGCTTAGAAATTCTAAAGCCTACTTGCATGGTCCAATTTGTAACCATAATCACTTATCAGTTGCATTTCAAGATTTCTATGCAAACATCTTGCAATTACTGATTTGTCTGTTCATTTCAGTTCATTGTTGTTTGTGCCCTCTTATGTGCCAATTAAATTGTTGTTTGTGTTCTCTGAAGTGCAAACATCAGACATTCTGATCTGTTGCCATGCAATGTGGAGCATTGTATGGATGGGATCTATCGACAACTATACATGAGACAATGTGGATATAGGAGTACGATGTGAGATTTCCGAGATATCCAGTGTAAATACATGGTGAAATGTTTAACTAGGTCGGAAACATGTAAACCACAGAATATAAGTTCTCAAAAAGAGTTTTATTTGAAAAAAAGAACTCAATGATAGCTATATGAAATTAGATGGGCATACAAAATTCAAGATAAAACTCAACTTTGTTTGTGAGATATTAAGTTTACAAATAGCAAAGAAAAAAACACAAATAAAGAATACTCTTTTTTTCCTCACTGTTTATCAATTTCATATGTCCTGAAATTTTATATGGTTGTCTAATATAACCTTCCTGTATGTGAGATATTTTAGAAATTTATGCGATAGTTTTCCCATGTTTAATATCCACTGCATGTTTTTCCCATATATCAATGTGCAACTACACATTACCCATTGAAAGTTTTCGCATGTATTGCCTTTCCGGTTAGAAGCAGACAATACACAATTTCAAGGATGTGGTACACGGCCCTTGGGTTCTGCTTAATAACAATTGCACCTGAGACAAGTTAACGGTATTCCATTATACAAAGAGAATAATGCTCTTATGCCACAAAGTTGGATGCGAAAACTCTCATTTTGAACAAAAGTTTGAAGCCTTTACTAAAATGCCACAAAATTGAGTACCAATTCATTCTTTTACCACAATACAGTGTGAAATTCCAAATTAATGCCCACCTTCTTCTCCTTCTCCATTTTTGTCCTATCCCCACCCTTCTTCTCTGTGTCCAGCAAGGACAGACCTAGCTCTGTCCGGCCAAAGTTTGAGCCAGACCTGGCAGCCAGCCCACTCCTGCACGTCCGACGCCCCACTCCTGCATGTCCAACGCGCACGCCATCTCCGTGCACCTGAGCTCGGCATGAGCTATGACACCCTAGCTCCAGTAGCCAGCTTCAACCTTAGCATTACCTCCGCCTCTGGCCGCCAGCAGCACAACAATATGCGTCCTGCCCTCAGCAACTGGCTCTGTGCAGCCCACCTACTCCGCGCACGGCTTTCCTCCTGAAAGCCAGTTCCACGCGCCCTGCTCCCGGCCGCAGTGGCGGACCTAGGTCCTAGGCCTGGGTGTAAAAGCCCATAGAGAGACATACATTTTTAAGATATAATTTTCTGTTGGGCCAAACACAGTGGGCACCAGCCCGTGCGGCCAAGCTCCATTCACAAACTCATAGAAGAGAGAAAGAGGGTGCAGAAGAAGGGAAAATTGCACATTTGGTGGGTTAAAATGGTAAAGTGTGGCAGATAAACGAGTATACAACTGAACTTTGTGGCATTTTTACAAAGCCAACAAATCATGTGGCAAATAAGAGTATGGCATGCAGCTTTGCGGCATAAGAGAAATTTTCTGTTGTACATACAATCTTCACAGTATAGAAATTCTGGTTACAACAAAAACAACATGCTGAAAACTATGTCTTTTGTTGGCAGAAGATTGTAATATCTCATCCAAATCCAAGCTTAACTGAATGTAGAAAAGATTTCTCAACTAGCAGTAACTATTTATGTATAGGCACAATCTTCTTGACCAAGTAAATAATAGATTCTACAAACTGCGCTCACTAAAAGTTGGCAGACTTTGGGTGTAATTTCAACCAACTCCCAGTTAATAAACTGACCAAATTTCTCGACAAAAGCAAAGCAGTTTGTCCACCCCTTTAGGATAACATCTTTGAAGACAAAATCAAGAATACACACAAGCTAGTCCCAGCCCGACAAAAAATCTAGCCCACAAGATATCGTTGTAAAAGGTGGAGAAGCAATGAATTCACATCGACTTCTGCATATGCCATACGGCCAATACGTCAAACAGCGAGAAGATCCCCAAATTGAATAGGAAATCACGACGAAGCTCGTCGGCTCACCCATGAATTCACCTCCCAATTCGCCAAAGACAGAATCTTTGACCTAACCGGGGGCATGATGGGGTTCAGTTGAACCCCCAAATCTATTGTTTGTGGAACTAAGGCGGAGAGAAAAGCTTCCAGATCTAGGAGAGAAGATAAGGGATTAAAAAGAGGATGACGCGAGCAGGGTGCTCACCGGCCTGCGAGGATGCGGCAGAAGCAGCAGGCTGCTACTCGCCCTCGCGAGATGGAGATCGGCGCAGGCGGCGGGTGGGCAGTCGAGGCCGAGGGGACGGGGATGCGGGGGAGATCAATTTCCCTAGGCCGGGCGCGACGACTCGGAGGCCACCTACGCCGTACTGCACTCGGATACTATTGACTTGCGTCCAGTGCCCCAAAATCCACCCTTGAAATGCATCCAACGTCTCAAACTGCCTCCCCTACTATCCGGTGTCACTGGTCTGTACCGTGTAAACAGCTCACTTCCAAGGTCGGACCTCGCCGCTAATTCTGCTATCATATTTTGGTCTCAAATATATAATTCTAAATTACTCCTAGCTATTCACTGGGTGAATAAGGCCATCTACAATGTGTCTTCAACCCGCCCCAGCGACGGCCGTTCGCTTTTCCGTTCGAGCCATGCCCTGGTGATGGCGCGCGACCCCTGCTTGGGAGACGCGCCTCCTCCTTTTCGGCTAGGGAACGGGCTAGAGGCACGCGCTGCGGCGACAGACGCCTCAGGCGACTGTCTCTCCACCACCATATTCCCCTTCCACCCCTCTCCCCCTCTCTCTCCTCTCCTCCGTTCTCATCGCGAGACGGCCTACCCCGCTGAGCCGAGCTCCTCCTCGGGCACCGCCGAGGTGCGCCGTCTCCTCAGCCTCTGCTAGCGGGAGAGAGAGAGGCGGTGGGCGGAGTCGGCCACCGTGCGGCAGCCGTCTGCCGGGCTCGTCTTAGCCATCGGCAGAGGGAGCGGCGGGATCTCGAGCTACGGCCGGAAATAGCAGCGACGAGAGAGAGAGAGCGCGCGGCGAGCGGCGGCAACGGCGGATCCCCGGCGGAGGCAACGGGTTCGCGGCGGAGTAGGCGGCTCTCCTCGTCGCCCTCGTCGACAAAGCTCCGGCGGCGAGGGTGGTCCTACTCGTCGCCCTTGCGGCCGCCACCGGAGAGAGAGAGAGCTGGGGTGGGTGGCGACGATGGCGTGACGGAGAAGGCCAGGGAGGATGCCACCCGCCTCTCGCCGCTTGCCGTCGGCCACCGCAGCGGTGCGCTGGGCCTGAGTTGGAGGCGGCGGCGAGAGGGAGAGGCGAGTGCGGTGGCGAAAAAAAGGAGGGGGCAAGAGAGAGAGAGATTAGGGGTAGGATAGTAAAAATAAATATGGGGCTTTGTAGGCTGTGATACCTATTGTGGGTTGGAGTGTCTCTATTAAGTTGTTTCAGATTTTGAGGAGCCCATCCAGGGGTATCCTCCATTCCGAGCTGAGTTCCTCTACAGCACTCTAGAAGTGGCTCACATTGTGGATTCCCTAAGGACAATAGCAGTACAATCTACTCAAAATCATGCCTCGCTATGCCACATAGGATGAGGTTCCTATATGGACACTAGCTCCACAATGGAGGCTCCACCTAACAACTTTTTTTCATCTCAGCCCTTAAATTCTTCTATGTCAGCCCTTCCTATATTTTGTATTAACAAACCATCCAATTTTTTATATTTCAGACCCTGCAACAAAAAAAAAAGATCTACACACATAATCATGCCTGCCCACTGACCCACTTGTCAGCCATCCCTTACTTTTTCCTCCCCCTCACCCCGTTCTCTCGCTCCCAATTGCATTTAATCCTCATCCCCTCCCAAGTCCCAACGAAGACGCCGACGCCTCTCCATCTTCGCCGCCTCACCAACATCGCCCCCAGCTTCATCGCCTACTCTCCTCTCCATCTCCGTCGGCGCCACCCATCTCCGTCTACCCTCTCCCGTTCCCCATCCATCCCCTCCCCTCCAGCGGCAAATCAAGTTCCAATGATGCAACCAAGCTCGGTGGCGGTGGAGCTTCGGCGGCGGGACCGAACTCCGGCATCAGCGAATTGAACTCCGACGGCGCAAAACAAGGTTGGCTTTCTCCTACGTGGATCAAGGCCGACAGTGTGGGCGGGGCAGTCTCGTCTCCGGCAAGCACCAAGTGGAGCAACGTCGGGGCCATCGCGACGTGGAGCATCGACGGCATCCTCGGGCTCATCTCTGGCAAGCGGCGAGTAGAGCAGCGGCAGGCCCACTCGTGGTCGTTGCCACGTCCGGAAATTCACTAGTAATTTCCGAACTTATTTGTGCATAAAACCCTCGTCCAGGAATCAGCCGAGGTACACAAACTGACAATTTAATATACAAATCCATCATAATAATAACGTTACATACTTACAAAAGAAAAGAAAACAGCAGCGGAAATAACGGTCTAGCGATGACTTCAGCTCCATTCCCACAGGCAGCTCAACTGGGGTATAAGCCAAACGTCTTCTCCTTCTGGATCCCTTTTCTTCAATTGAGGTTGATTGATTATTGCAAGAATAAGCATATGACATACTCAACAAGCCACACAGCAAATATGCAAGTGCACAAGGATACCAAAGGATGGCATAATATAGGCTCATTTGTAAAAGCAGCATTTAGCAAAGATTTAAGAGTAGTAAAACAATAGAGTAATTAATCATCAATTTTAATCAACACTGAACAGCACCCCAATGCTGTACAGGCCCAACCAAACCTGAACAACCAACCCCGGCTGTACAAATCTAACTCCAAACCAGGAGCTAAGCAAATTATTACCAATTATAGCATCAATAATTATTGTGAGATGTGTGAGACTAATCACGAAAAACATTGCTCAACTCGCCCATAACCGCGGGCACGGCTATTCGAATAGTTTTACTCTGGCCAGAGGTGTACCACTGTACCTACAAGACACAGCCTCAACATCATGTCTACCATGCGTCGCGATACTGGAAAGTACCCGAATAGAGGCTATGACAATACCCTCTGCACAACACAACTCACCACAGTGCACCATACCTGGATCATAATCACCCCCTCTATAAATACAACCAGAGGCATGGACTCCCCAGCGACCCCCACGGACTTCTCGCCGCTTCTCAGTCTGGTGCCCCGCAATGAATCATGCTATACAAAAGGTAAAGCCGTTGCCTATGCTGGCTTGTGGTTGGCACGGTTAATGTTTTACAACAGTAGCTCGCGAATCGGTCCTTAATTGCCATGAGCACGACCTTCACAACCATGTGCTCACAACCCACCATTGACAAATTTTAATTGGCAATAATTAATTAACCAATCACGATTGACCATCGTGAGCTACCATTAAATATAACCATAAGTGATAGTGTAACATTAGTTATCCCAATCATGTGCTAATGTTTCTAAGCATGGCTAAGCAATTATATATATATAGCATTTAGCTGAACCCAAACCAATATATAAGGTTCTAGCTAATCAAATTATAACCCATAGGAAAATAAAGCCATCTTCGGCCATTAATTAATTGTGAAAGGCTCACCACCCGATGACATTCGAAAATAATGCATAAGTTGAAATCAAACAATAGCTTTAAACGGGTTCAACATGCTCAAAGGGTTGTTTGGGATCTTTGTGACTTGCCTTGAGCTTCCGCAAACACTTCCGAACCTTCCTCAACGAAAACGCTCTCCTCCGGAACGTCGGAAACTAAAACGAAAGAACAAAATCAACAAAATAGTACAAAAACAAGCATAACCAGTACATGTGGATATTTTTAACATGTAGATCTTGATTTTAGAAAAATTTAGCAACTTGAACCACTCGAATCCGAGGTACGATGATTTAGTTATTAATTTCCGAAGTTTAATCGATTTTCATCTAATAGAGAAAACTAAGAAAAGGGATTAATGACGTCATCGCTGACATCATCAATGTCGACTCGACATCAGCGACGACCTCGCCGGCGCTAGAAGACTCGGCCGGACTTTTGGAGGGTACCTACGCGTAGAGGAGAACAACGCGATCTCACCGGTACTAACCAATGCGACGAACGACGACCGGCGACGAGCTTGTGCGGCGGCGGCGGCTCTCCGGTGACCGGTGGTGACGGCGAAGGGGCGGCCGAGCTTCCCCTCTTCCACGCGCACCCGACGGCGACGTGAGGAGGCGGCGGCGGCGGCTAAAACGACGGCGCGAGGCGGCTGTTCGCCGGCCGGCGACGGCGGCGGTTTGGGTGGCGCGGCGGCGGCACTACGGGGCACGAGAGAGCTCGGGACATGGGGCAAACGAAAGAGGACGACTAGGGGATGCTATTTATAGGCTTGGATTGAAGAGATCGGACTCCAACCGAGAGGAATCGAAGCCGGAAAATCCGAGGGTTAGTTGGAGAGATAAACTCGAAAACGAATTCGATTCCGCGTTGATTTCTTCGTGATAAAGTCCGATTCTTGGGGGAAAGGATAGAGGAGGATAAGAGGAATATTTCCCCTCAACTAATTTTGCAAACGGAGCACGGGATGCGGCGGATTTGGTGGAGGAAGCGGCGTCGGCTAGAGCACAGGACGGCAGCTCGGGCTTCTGTCCAAGCTTGAAGACGACACTGTAGCAGGGAGGAGAATTAGACTTTTCGTCTTGGGCTGGCTGAAAACAAAGCAAAGAAAGAAAGAGGAGGAGCTCGGATGGGCCGACTTGGGCTGCACAGCACGCGCGCGAGGGAGAGAGATGTTGGGCTGAAATCAGCCCAACGGCTTAGGAGAGGATTTAAAAACTTTTTCCAATTAAAATAATCACTGAAATGATCTTTGAATTGTTAAAAATACTTCCAATGCTCAAATAGTTTCAAGAAAAATCCTGAAAATACTTGGACACTCAAAGTACTTAACAAAATTATAATCAGACCATTTAATGATTAATTTAATATGTGGATAATTACTGAAATGTTCTTTGTATGGTTAAAATTAGGAATTGAGCTCCGAAAAATCCGAGAAAATTCCAGAGAGTATAATTAACCATGGAGAATTTAATAAAAAATAAATCCGTCCATGCTTTATATTTAGGAAATTTTATTTCCCACATTTAACTTCTCTTGTAAATTAATGAACATTTAATATAAATTCTAATAATAATTTATTAAATAATTTATAAATCCTAAAACGAAAATCAGGATGTGACAGTCATCCTCCTCCTCGCTTCGAGAGGCGGCCCCAGTGGTGGATCTCTACGCTGCCGACCGGTGGTGGATCTCGAGCGGCATCCCCGGTGGCGGATCTCGTGTGACGGCCCGGTGGCGACTCCAGCTCCATGAGCTCTCATGATGAGGACATCAACACCATCGATACATCCACGTCTCCAC